AAAGCTTTTTATAGGATTTAAAACTTTTATTTTTGTTATTTGGTAGGATTTAGGCTAAATTATATTTAAATATCACTCAAATCTATCGATGTAAATTTCTATGGGATTTAAAGTTGACATTTTTATCGTTGACAAGATATTTATGCTTAAATTTTGCTTAAATAAACATATTGTTTGTTTTTTAATGGTATATAATTATTTTATATATTTGTGCCATGTTTAAAATGGCTAACTCTGCACCGGGCACTATGCGCCATGGCTTCACTAGGAATATTGCATCGTGGTTCGCCACTCACTGTTGACAAGTATGACTTATAGGAATATATTTAATCAGACTCAACTCTTTTTGTTTTGGCTTGAATGTAAAAAAATCCTAAACATTGCCTAATGAATGCTGAATGAAATATGCTATTCAACGTTCATTAGGCAATGTTTAGGATTCTTTTAAGGTTTAAATATTAATATCATACTTAATTATTAATTAATTAAATATCAAATTAATTAAAAAAAATCTTTAAAGCTTTTTATAGGATTTAAAACTTTTATTTTTGTTATATGGTAGGATTTAGGCTAAATTATGTTTAAATCTCGCTCAAATCTTTCTATGTAAATTTTTGTGGGATTTAAAGTTGTTTTTTACTATTGGCAGGATATTTATGCTTAAATTTTACTAAAATTAACATATTTTTTGCTACTTAATGGTATTTTAAATATATATATATATATATATATATATATTATATTTGTGCCATGTTTAATCTGGCGAGTGCTGAACATCTCATCCATGTTTGTGCCAACAGTGTCTTAGTACTTTTTTATTAGTGACTTCAGCACTTTGGAGTAATTAATTAACAAATTTATTTTTAAAATTAAATTAAAATAATTTAAATAAATAAAAGATTCTTTAATAATCATAAAACATTAAAACTTAAATTTAAATTAATCATTTTTTACCCTTAAAACAAATAAATGTAAATCATAGAAAACTTCAAATAAAAAATAAACTTAAGACAATAAATATAACTTTTTCATACACTTTAGATGATTTGCTAGGACAACCAGCTCTAACATAGGCTCAGCTGGTAGTTTAGTGTGGTTTGATGCGAGTACCTTGCTTGAAGGATAATCTTGTTAATTGTTTACTTTATATACTCTTGATGTGATATACACATGATTACTTTACCTATTGGTGCTCATTTTTTTTACTAGGTTGCATGCACCCATTCATTTTTATATACAGCTTTTTATTTTCATTTCTAATGTCAAAGTAGAATGTACCTACATGCAAATATAATTATAAAGTTGTAGATTTTTGTATATAGATTGAGTTGTAAATTCTATAAAGAGTTGTAAAAGATTTAAAGATGATTATTTGTGTGCACTTGTAAATTCCAAAAGATAATATTCTTTCTTAGTAAGCCAAGATGAAGTTTAGTAAGCTAAGAAATTCCTTCTTCTCTTAAGCATTTCCACATCTCTATTGGAATATTATCATGCCAATAGCTTTTCCACACTTCATTTTCTTTAAAGTCTCTTTAACTTCGGTTTTACTAATACGCTGATAAAAATAAAATCTTTATTTTCATTTAGGGTGCTAAGGTCAATAAAGTCAATCGCATTCTCATAATCTTCATCGAAAAGGTTAGAAAAATATCTCATCCACCTTTGTTGAATAGCCTCTTCTAAAAAAACACTTTTTGATATTCTTCCTTAATATACTTCAATTGAACTAAATCATTACCACTCATATCTCTTTGTTTAGTTAACTTATATATATATATATATATATATCGCCCTCCTTAGCATCTAATCTATTATATAAATCTTTTAAAGCTAAATTATTTGCATTGTAAATTACTTTCTTAGACTCCTTACAGGCTTTTTATATCGTTCCTAATTATCAGAATTTTTACAGCTAAATCAAATTTTATAGCAAATCTTCATATGTTTTATCTGCCTTCTGTTTAATACTAGATGCAATTTTTTTATGACGAAAAAATCTCTCAACAACTTCTAGTGTTAGTCACTAATATGTCATACTTCTTTTGTAATTTAAACATGTCTTTGTCATATATTTTTTTCCTCAATAACCACCAAATCAATTCTTATGGTATTCCCTTACCTGATTTTTCAAGATCAACTAAGAACATATATCATTTTTTGACAGTTAACCATGTCGATAATAGATCTAAATTTATTACTCCACAACCAAAATGTAAGACAAGCTCTTCTTGGTTAAAAAATGTTGAATCTCTTTTCAATCATATGATAGCTTATAATTTTAGGCGTTATTAAGATTTGCTATAATATTTGGTGTCATCTGAAATTCTTCATTTATGTTGAGATGTGTTGCTATTGTAGCCATTTCTCTGCATTCTTATGTTAGATGGGTTTTGCAGACGTGCTAATGCATGGCAAAAATTTATTATTTGTTTTTTTTTTATTGATTTATGGATATTCTGTTTGGAACCATAGTTGTCATTACAGTAATGTATTCATATAATTCTTGGTGTCAATAAAGCGTCATATAACATAGACAGTGGTATACGGTTATTAGGTTATTCATGAGTAATTTGAATTTTTAAATAGTAATTTTAAAGGTTTTCTAAGGCTTCAAGTTGATTATGCCTATTTCTTATGTTCCTTTAGTTCCCAAGATTGGAAGACGCAGTTGAGAGTGCCACCTCCAGATACGCGCTACAAGACAGAGGTGAAGTGGACTTTTATGCATTGCATTGTCTAATTTTTATTTTTTGGAGGAATTGATACAATGATTATCCTCGGCTAGAAGTTCTTTTTTTTATTAACTTATTTAATACTATAATCAACCAAATAGATTGGGCAAAGACTAATAATGATGATGACAATATTCTTTATACAGCTGCTGGCGTTGTTTTCTCTTTTAGGCTGAAGTTTGTTTGTATTTACTTGAGACGTTTGGTCTGAGTATAATTCTTATTTAGGCTTATTTTGATTTAGCCTTTCAACTGTGCTTGCAGTAGAAAAAACAGTCGAGTATTTGTTTGGATGTTCAGTTTTTATGACTTTTTTCACTGTTTTTTCAAAAAAATTTCTTCTCAAAGCTGTTTTAGGGAAAGCACAATAAAATTTTTGATCCAGAAATAAGAAAAATAGTAAAACAAAAGCCTTTTAATCTCCAGCTTTTCCTTATGTATTAAGTAGCTTTAAACTGCTCTTGTATGCTTGAATATGTGAAGAGAGGTCATCCTCATCCTTCAGAAGTTGGTCTCAATTGAAGACGGTTAACTCTCCAATTTTATTTTAGCCTTAGCAAATGTAATTATCAAACCTTCAGGCTTTAAAGGAAACCTTTTGAGTCTATGTTTTGGTTTGAGACAGGTTCAAAGTATTTGCTCAACGAAGTAGCATTATCCAGATGATATTTTCATCTATTTTTGGATATTTGACCTTCACATTATTAAATCCTTTTCTTTTAATTATTAGTCCTCAATCGCTACAAACCAGTCTAGGCATTAGCTCTTAGCAGCACTCTTGGCAAACCAGGCTAGGCATTAGCTCTTACCAATAGATGGCTTTTGACTTTATTTTTTATTACTTTTTGTAATGTAAAATTTAGCCATGTGATACAATCCTGTGTTCATTTTATTGTCTTTGACAAATATATTTTGGATCTAATTGTCACAAACCGGCCCAAAGTCACAAATTAACGAAGGCTGGAACAAACAATCGAACGAATATTATAATTCTTTGAAAAATTTAATTACTCAATAACTAAACATTCATTTTTTTATCAGAAGAGCCACTAAAATAATTTTTAGTCAAAAATACAATAAATCAATTCTCATCCATTTTTAAGTGATCATCCTTTATGTATGCAAAACCTTATCGATCATTCATTTAAGCAACATGAGATTTATCTACAATTTTCAACATGAAACATCGTTAGACAATCTACTACAATCCGGATAGCATCGTGTCCTTGCCTTGACCTAGGAAATCTGATAGGAAATACTTGATTTCAAGTATTTCCTAACCACTTTAGAAGCAAGAAACAATGAAAACCTGCTGTCCACAGTAGAAATTGGCAACAAAATAGTGGAAAATAGCAAATCTGAGAGAAAACAGTGGAGAAAAGACTTGTATTTTACTAGTAGATGCAAGGAAAATAGCAAAGATACAAGGATCCTCTATTTGAGAGGAGGATTGCACTCTCCCAATCTCTAGAATTCAATCTAGAGCCCTAGCCACGAAAGAAGAACAAGAAAACTCCAAACAAATTTCACATAACCCTAACCTATCATTTTCTCCCTACTTAATGCATACAATTAAAAAATAACACAAAAGGACGTAATTGCCCTTACTTCCACTCCTTTTGGCTCCAAGATTCAAATTGAAAATCAAGTGGACCCCACCCAATTTCCTCCCCTGGGTTCCGCCGGCTCCCTCCTCCTGTAAACGAAATGAGCTAGCCCAATGGATTGGGCCGGCTGGACCGATCCATAGAGGACCGGTCTAACATTACCGCCCTCCCAAATAACCACTTTGTCCTCAAGGTGGAAGTCAGGAAACTGTCGCTTCATCCGCTCATATGGCTCCCACGTGGCCTCGTAGTCAGGGAGGTTCTTCCATTTGATCAGGACTTCTGTAGCTCCATCTGCTTTCTGACGAACCTCCATAAGCTCCAAAGGTTCCAATATCATTTCCATTTCATATGTTAATTTCCATGGTAACTCAGAACTGATCGCATAATCTCCAATGGCTCTCCTTAGCTGGGATACATGGAAAACAGGATGGATCGTCGCTGTCGGTGGTAGCTTCAGACGATATGCCACAGCTCCAATTTTCTCCAGTACTTCATAAGGACATAAGTACCTTGGAGCAAGCTTCTCATTCCTCCAGTTGGCGACCGTTTTCTGTCGATATGGACGGCGGAGTTTCAAAAATACCTTCTCACCCACCTCAAACTGAATATCCTTACGATGCCCATCAGCCAGTTTCTTCATGATCTGTTGAGCCTTCAACAGATGTCTTTTTAACTCTTCCAGTGTCTTATCCCTCTCCTCCAAATACTCCTCTACAGAAGAAATGGGTTGCTGCTACTTCCGAGATGTACCAAGTGGGGCGGATCCCTTCCGTACAACACCTTAAATGGGGTCATCTGAGAGGCTGAATGAAAAGAGGTGTTGTACCAGTACTCGACCCATGATAGCCATTTAGCCCATAGCTTGGGTGTCTCTGATGCGAAGCATCTCAGATAAGTTTCCAAGCTCCGATTGACCACATTTGTTTGACCATCCGTATGTGGATGATAAGCCGTACTCCTTTTTAGCATCGTCCTCTGCAGTCTGAACAATTCTTTCCAGAAATAGCTGAGGAACACTTTATCCCTGTCTGATACTATCGCCTCAGGTACTCCGTGTAGTCTGACTATCTCCCTGATGAAGACTGACGCTACTGTAACCGCAGTGTATGGATGGCGTAGAGGAATAAAGTGAGCATATTTGCTCAATCTATCCACTACCACCAAAATCACAGTGAATCCCTCAGAGCGGGGTAGCCCATCAATGAAATTCATAGATATCTCCTCCCATACTCATCCTGGTAACACCAATGGCTGTAGTAGCCCCCTTGGTGACATAGCTAGATACTTATTCCTTTGGCACACCTCGCATCTGGATACCGCCTCTTCCACATCCCTATGCATACCTTTCCAAATACAGCTCTGCCGCTAGTCTCCTGTAGGTCTTTAGCACTCTTGAATGACCTCCCACTGCAATTCCATGGAACTCTTGGAGCAATTGTGGGATGTGTATTGACTAGGGCTGTCAAAACCGGGTCACGGGTCGGGTTCAGGTCCAACTCGAAATTGACCCGACATTATTCAACCTGACCCGAACCCGACCCACTTTGGGTCCGGGTCAACCCGAACCCGACCCGATTCGGGTATATTTTATTAATTTTTTATTTAATTCAATTTATTTAAATCTAAATTAAATTAAGGTAAGATTTACTTCAATTAATTTAAAATAAATCAAGATTAATTTAATTTGGGCAATAATGTTTAGAATTTTTTGAAATATCATTTACTTAGTTCATAAAAATCCTTTAAAAACTTCCTAAATTAATTTAAAACGGGTCAAACCGGGTTGATTTCGGGTTTTCGGGTCAACCCGAACCCGACCCGGTTTTACAAATTGGTCGAAATCCCTAACCCGAACCTGACCCGGTTTGGGTTCGGGTTGACCCGAACCCGAAATTTTCGAGTCGGGTTTTCGGGTCGGGTCAAATATTGACACCCCTAGTACTGACGTTCTGAGTAACACAAATCTTCCTTGGTACAACAATCTCTCGCCCTCCAACGAGTACCCTGGATGGCCTCCCTCTTCCTTCAGTAAGTCAGCTCTGATCTTGCTTAGTTCCTCGTCCTTGGCACTCTCCTTCTTTATGGTTTCCCAATCTAGCATTATTGGGACCGATATAGCCACTGTCTGCAGCTCCCTCAAGCACCGGCATCTGTTGCCTTATTTTTTACCCCTGGCCTGTACTGGATCTCAAAATCATATCCGAGCAGTTTAGATAGCCACCTCTGATGCTCCGCTGTCACCATGCGCTGTCCAGCAAATATTTCAGGCTTCTTTGGTCGGTCCGGACGATGAAATGTCTTCCAAGTAAGTAGGGGCGCCACTTTTGGATGGCCAAAACAATTGCCATCAACTCCCTCTCATAGATAGATTTTAGCCGGGGTCTGGCAGTCAACACCTGACTGAAATATGCAATGGGCTTGTGTCTCTGCATCAGCACTACTCCTAACCTGTATCCCGATGCATCTGTCTTTACTATAAAGGCCTGAGTAAAATTCGGTAAAGCTAAGACCGGAATAGTGGTCATAGCTTTCTTCAACTGCTCGAATGCTGTCGTAGCTGCCTCCCCCCATAAGAATCCATCTTTCTTCAACTGCTCAGTGAGTGGCCAAGCTATAGTGTTGTATCCCTTCACAAATCTTCTGTAGTACCCTGTAAGCCCTAGGAATCCCCTCAGCTCCTTTAGATTTTTGGACAGTGACCACTTAAGCATGGCCTCAATCTTGAACTGATATGCTGCTACCCCTTCCTTGGATACCACATGCCCCAAGTATTCCACACTAGCTTGTGCGAAGCAGCACTTCTTCAAGTTAGCCCTCAACTGGTGCTTTTGGAGAACCTCTAACACCTTCTTTAAGTGTCATCAATGCTCCTCCTCTGTTCTGCTATATACTAAGATGTCATCGAAGAATACCAACACGAATCGCCTGAGATACTGTTTGAAGATCTTATTCATTTGTGTCTGGAACGTAGCTGGGGCATTGGTGAGGCCAAAGGGCATCACTAGGAACTCATAGTGGCCCTCATGAGTTCTAAAGGCGGTCTTGGGCATATCTTCTTTCTTCATTCGTATCTGGTGATATCCTAATTTCAAGTCGATCTTGCTGAAAATCACTGTTCCACTCAACTCATCCAGAAGCTCAGCAATCACTTGTTTGGGAAACTTATCAGGTACAGTTTCCTTGTTGAGTGCGCGGTAGTCTACACAGAAATGCCATCTGCCATCCTTTTTCTTCACCAATAGAACAGGACTAGAGAACGGGCTAGTGTTAGGCCTGATAATCCCTGCTTCCAGCATTTCTCTGATCAACTTTTCTATTTCATCCTCCTGAAACTGAGGATAACGGTATGGTCGTACACTGACAGG